ATCACGCGAAAGTGAAAACTGAAAGTGCTCTGAGTATGCGGTGTATTTATTTTTTTATGAAAATGAATGATGCCCTTTCAAAAGCTTCTCCAATACTTTTCTGTGCAGTATAATCTATAAACCTCTAACTTAGCGCTGTTGTTACGGAGAAAGTCCCACCATATAGTAGTATTTCAATTGTTTCTTTACGACGTTTTACAAACAACATTTGCGCGGTGAAAGAATTGATCCAGTAATTTAATTATTCTCTTAAAGTTTCTCCAGAGAATTGAAGAGAAATTTTCAACTTGAAAACAACACACAAGTGCGCTTTTAAACATCTTGTGAAATTGAACGCAACATACAAAAATAAAAACTTAAAAATTTAAGTCTTTTCGCAGAGCTAAAATTAACGGCTGTAATCAAGTACACACATTAAACTGTCAAGGTTACATCCCACACAATTTGAAACCAGCTCATATTTCATCAAAATCATGAAAGCCTTTTTTTTTCTTTGTAGTGACAAGCCAATTTATTGTGTAAGAAAACAATGTATAATAGAAATCATGCACAGAAATTTATCAAACTTAAAAGCTCATTGCCAGGGCCAAGTTAACCTCATATCGTAGTATGATTCTACATATATATATCACAGACTATCGAGAATTTTTGATAAACGTGAAAAAGTTTACAAAACGTGACCAACTATTGTCTTCAGGAAACCGGTACTTCCATTAAATTCCGTATGTCAAACATTTGTACTTTCAGAGTACAAGTGTTTCAGGTATCAAACGTTTTAGAGCCGATACAAAAAGAGAACGCTTTGCGGTATGTTGACAAAAATCTACTAGTAAATCATGTGTTAGTTTTAAACTTATAGCTAATGCCTGTGGAAAATTTAGGTGAGTTTTTATGTACGTTTCCGCACTAGGAACTTAGTTGCAGTGAAAAAAAAAATCAAAAACAAAACACACATACACACACACACACACACACACACACACATACACAAATTCGTAGTGTAAGCGGCTTTTTTTCCGGTAAGGTTCGTCTTAAAAGAAATATGACAAACAAAGTAGTTTTTGTCTGCCGAAATTATTTACACCACTTTACTATAATGAAAAAGACACCAATGAAACCATTAGGTTTAACTTCCTCATAAACAAATGGGTTGTCAATTTTTCATTATTTTGCTCTAAATTTGTCACGGAAATATATTTTCGGAAAAGCAATCATACCCACGTAAAGAAAGGTTTTCCCCAAAAGATATAAAATTATTGGCTCTACCTTCGCGTCTTTCGTCTTTAAATTGATATTTTTTTGTTTAGTATTTTAGTTTTCCTTGAATTGTTTTCTCCTTTAACTTTCTTGACACGTATACGTATAAAATTGAGTGGATTTTCAAAAGTATATCTATGTTCTGTTATTTGTCAGTGAAAAGTTTTCTTCAGGACGTCTTGAAATTCTTCTTTCATAATAAGAAAGCGTTGATAAAGCATGATATATCTTTCAGCTCAGCGACAACGTTTACGATGAAAACTTTTTTCCCGAGTAATCTCCTTTCTTTTTTTTTTTTTTTTCTAATTTAGAAAGTATATAAGTGAGAGAGCTTTGATTCTCAGATATATGAATGATCATCGCAGTAGTTTTCCTTTGTATAACATACGCGACTTTTTTTGGAAGACATTTCTAAATATGCCAGGAAGCTTTCTTATTCAGGGCCTGGTTGCTCAAAAAGCGGATAACGCTATTCAACGGATAAATCGCTATCCAACGCACAAGTTTTACCAAAACGTATTGCGCTATCCACCGGACAGAAATTTAACCAGTGAATGGTGTTATCCACCCTTCGCACAACTGGGGCCAGACCTTTTGGCCCGTGAGAATAAAAAACACCGTATTTACTATCTATAAAGAAAGCACATTTCAGTATTTGGCTTCAGAAAGTTCTCTACAAAAAATATTGACACACTAGCAAAATCAGACGTACGTTATAACGTACAATTAAAACGAGCTGACAAACCTTTAGAGCTGATATGTATGTCTTGAAGCAACTGATCTCACTTACGAATTGATGTTTCAAATTTCGGCTGCCAGATCGCTTGGGTGACTTCAGTATCTCGTGAACGAAGTGATTGAGATTTCTTTCAGCCGACAACCTTATTTGAATGATGTTTGCCTCGTTCTTTGGGTTTTGACGTCAAACCTTCAAATATGTGTTATTAACACGAAAACCCTGTCATTGTTAATAATAGAACATGTTTTTCTTTTTCAATCTCGAGGTGACACTGTGATCTTTAGGAGAATGGTGAATGCTCCCAATTAGAGCCACAATAATGCTTTTTAATGAGAACCTGCCCGATTTTAATTCAGCAAATTAATACTGCACTTCTTAGGAAGTCACGAAAAGTTGTTGCAAGGCTGCAGTTTTCGATAAAATTGAAGCGAGAAAATATTGCGGGAGATAATGTTGAATGAAAACGGTATGGAACACATAGAAGACGACAAAAAATACACCCCTTTTCATGGGTGTTTTTGGTTGAGTTTTCTTCCACACAAAAAAATCATATAACGAAGGGAATTTTTATCATAGGAAAGCCTAACTATTCAAGAGAAAATGGCATCAAAAATAGCTAAAAGGGGGTTACCATTAAAGATGTGTCAATGTGGTTCAACAGCATTTCCCTGTGAAAACAAATAGAATCCTTAGCCCTTTGTATTACTGCTGTAATTACGCAGGCCTTGTGCTTCATTAATGTACAACCTGTCGAACTTGAATCGAATGCAAATAATAACTTAAAACTCTCATTTCTATTTTACTTGCCTTTAGTTAAACATATCTACAAACAAGACTTTCTGATTCCGGTCGACAGGGTAAAATTCATCAGAAAGCATGGTTTTCCCAAAACTAAAGCGTTTACAACACCTACACATTAGTCATTATAATTTGACATGCGATTAATGCAAAGAGAAAAAAGGAATATATGTTGACAGCTTTGCTTCGTGCTGAGAAAGAAAAAAAAAGATAGACATAAACGAAGCCGCGTTAGATACCGCGGAAGGTGTTTTCCATGATCAAAGATTCGGAGTGACGTAATACCAAAATAAAACTGAACAATAAAACTTATTCAAATCATCTTTGGGGGCCTGTTTTACGCCCACGTCAAAAATAGATTTAACTTTATCAGCCTAACGTGAATCCAATTCTCGGTTGAAATTGGATTTTTGAGTTGACCCCTTTTATTTGCGTGCCCGACGTAGTTATTGCCAACAGATTGCCACCAGATTGCCACCAGACCAAACATCGATGACGAAATCAGAGTGGGGGCTATTATAAATTCTTGTTTGCGTTGCGGAAAACCATTTAACAGAAAGTTACCTTTTTGCTTCTGATCTGAAAATCCTTCATTATCTTCTCGAGTTATTGTCAAAATACCGTCTGAAAGAACTTTCAATAGGTTGTAAAAACGTGATACTCACAATTTTCTCAGTTCATTATCTGCGATAAGCTAATGATTTGTTCGTTTGTTACTTTCAGAGGGAATTTCAAGTTCAACATCAAAACGTTTAAAGTCTTTTTTAGACATTGCCCAGAGTTCCGCGTTTTTTCGCGGGAGAGGGGCAAGTGGGAGGGGGAGAGGAGTGAGTGGGAATAAAGGGGGAGGGGGAGTGGGAATGGAAGGGAAATGGGAAAGAGGGGTGGGTGGGAGTGAGAGTGGAGGGGAGAGGAGCAAGTGGGTTTGAGGGGGAGAGGAGTAGGTGGGAGTGGAGGGGGACAGAGGAAATTGGGAGTGGAGAGGAGAGGGCTAAGTAGGGGGGCAAGTACGAAGATTTGGCTGCTTGATCTTGAATGATTTTTTTCGACGTCGAGAACCATTATCTTTAGAACTAAGACTTGAGTAAGACTGACGCAATGCAGAACCATTCAAAGCTTTCTGTGTACATTGAAAGAAAAGTTGATAGAGTTTTTCGATGTGTAAGCACTCCAGTGGCAAACTATTGTATAAAAACAAAGCGGATAACTTAATAAGTAACGACTAAGGTAAGCCATTTAGAAATAACTTTCTTGAATGAAATGCTTTAAAAACATCTATTACGTAGTACACGGACTGTACATTCAATTTTCTAGCTGCTTCGATGGCAGTTTGGTCTCATTCGAAAATTTTAATCGTTTCACGTGTAAATCATCTTTTGTCGGAAATTCATAAAAAAAAGTTTCCTTCAACCACATTAATTTTACACATGTAGTCTGTATATTCCTCTTCATTCAGCAACAGGAAGACTGCATATACGTGAATTAATCCTTGTGTATATTTTAGTAGCTACCAATCGAGAAAAACTTAATTTACTCCCTTGAATTATGTCGTTAGAATTATGTCGGTCGATGAGAAGTCACGACCGCTAAAGGACATTTTCTTGAATTCTTTGACTTTCTGGACGGCTCTTCCAGACGCCAAAACCTCAGATTTAGACTGAAACTTTGAAATTTTAGATTGTGTTTATGTCAGGCTCCCCTTTTTTAAACAAAATGAAGCATTCGTGAAATTTATACTAACTCGGCTGTTTTTTGTCATAATAATAACAGCATAAGCGTTGATAATTCCTAGTTTTTCTGAAGCAAACTTAGACAAATCAACGTAATGAGCAAAGAAAATTAAAGATTGGGAGACTTCCTTTATTCCTTTTAAAACACACGGCTTATGTAGGGAAGGTACAATAAATTTAATCGGAATAGTGATATGCATGCCCTTCAACAATATCCAGCTGGGTGTTCGTCAAGTATCCTTGTTTCTCGTTTTTTGAAACACTTAAATCTTCATGGCTTATTCAGTGAACCCGTAATTAAAAGAACAGCCAAAGAAATTGAGATATATTTTCGTCTTGTCCCGAGCGTAGGTCAAAGAAAAATTTCTGAGTTCCCTTGAGGAATCGAACCTCAGACCTGAAGTTCTTTCGAATTTCAGTTTAAAACTCCCTCTGTCATTTTTAGACTAACTCACGTTAAAAAATAGGCAACTCACCTGAAAATGCCTGAACCGAACTTTAATATCAATTTCCCAATCTTCGTGCGCTGGCAGAACTGTTGTTTTCAAAGCAGGAAATTTCTCGAAATATTTCCTCTACAAACCAGTTGGGTATTTTTCCCCTGTCCTTTCCATTTGCGTTCGATCTGATTCTAAGGTTGAACGATTTCAATCAATAAAATCACCCTGTCGAAGATCTCTCCGCTATTGAAAGCGAAAAAACAATAACAATAAAATTTTTAAATTGACAGTTTTAGTATTTTATTTTGTCATTTCTATTATTCATGACGGACGATTTGTAAATCGCAACCTTAATTGGAAATTGCCGCCTTGTTCCTCCGCCGAAGTTGTTTGTTGTTTTCGACCTACACTACACACTACACATCGGGTCACGAAATATTCCAAGAACGATGGAAGTATTGTAACAACAAGACTTAACTGCTCACACTAATGGTTTTATTTTAAAGGATTTGACAGAAAAAGGGAAAATGTGGTTTAAGTCCAAAAGCTTTGTTTAACAAATTCAAAGCCCTGAAGCAACATTAACAATTTGCATTCTCAAGAGTTTAATCTATTTGCAAATGAAAAACAACAGTTGCCGACATTCTCAGGATATATTGTTATGAAATCTAATCGGTTCGTGGTTTTTAGAGAGATTTAACAGGTGGGATTAATGTGTTTTTCGGGTTGCAATGTGGGGTTAATTTTTTCGAAGTATTCCCAGTAAAGCACCCTCTCGGGTGCTCTGTTGTCGTGACTTCTTGGAAATGAACAAGGCTCTTCAAATTGTGTAAGCAACATTATGCGACCCTTAAGCTTGGTTTTCTCTAACGAAGCAAGCACAAACGCAAAAACAACAGCTGTTGAAAAACAACAACACCATGAAACAACACCATGAAAACGGCCTCGATGCAAGCACAAACACAAGCGCAAGCACAAGCTCAAGGATCAAAATTTTTCCCTTATCCCGTGCTGGTGCTTGTGCTTGTGCCTTTCGACGTTCGTTTGCATTTGGCATATAAAGCTAACGCTTGTGCTTGCGCTTTTCGACGTTCGTTTGCATTTGGCATATAAACCTAACGCTTGTGCTTGTGCTTTTCGACGTTCATTTGCATTTGGCATATAAACCTAATGCTTGTGCTTGTGCTTTTCGACGTTCATTTGCATTTGGCATATAAACCTAACGCTTGTGCTTGTGCTTTTCGACTTTCGTTTGCATTTGGCATATAAACCTAACGCTTGTGCTTGCGTCGCTAATGAAACCAGGCTTTATTTCATCAGATATAAGACAAAAATCAGCCCGAATATCGAAGGAAGGCCCCAAGAGAACGCCACTAATACGAAAAAAAGTAACAGTTTGAGCGGATCCAACAAAATGATCTCACTCATCTGTGTTGTTCCCAAAGTAATTTTAAGCTTGAGTTGTAAAGCTTTCTCCACGATAGCGGCTACAACTTTCAATCACTTAAAACGATTTAAAAAATTTTGAAGCAGTTACGATAAATCTTCACAGGAAAGATAAACACGTCCCAAAATAATTCCAAGTTGTTGTTTACAGTAGAGAAAATGCAATTTAAAATTGGTAAAAAAAGAATAGACATTTGTGTATAATTAGAGTATCTGTTATGGCTGTGTCAATGCATACACAGTTGTCTGTGAATATGTTTAATTTTCGGATCATAATTTCCTCCAATAGATTGCGCTGCGGTGGCTGGAAATGTTTTGTTGTAACCATGTCAACTACGATTTTTGCTGATATGAGGAATGCGTTTTCTAACGATGAGTCTCGTGGATCTGTTTGAAGTTTTTCTCGCGATTTTCAAGAGCACTGCAAAATTTTAACCACTATTTCATGCAGAGCATCGGGGTTGAAAAAAAAATACTTCAAAAAATCTCCTCTACAGGTTGTGGCTTTTAAATTCCAAATATCATAGGAAAATTAATTACTTGACAAGGGAATTCCCCATTTTAATGCGGAATTCCTTTGTCGCGTTAAATTGCACGCGAAAACCGATGTCGCACGAATCGCTTCGCGACACACAGTTGTCCGCGAATATGTTTAATTTTCGGATCATAATTTCCTCCAATAGATTGAGCTGCAGTGGCTGGAAATGTTTTGTTGTAACCATGTCAACTACCATCTTCATGTCAACTACGATGTCAACTACGATGTCAACTATCATGTCAACTACGATGTCAACTATCATGTCAACTATCATGTCAACTACGATGTCAACTACGATGTCAACTATCATGTCAACTACGATCTCGCTTCGCGATTCGTGCGATATCGGTTTTCAAGTGCAATTTAACGCGGAATTCACGATTCAAGTAGTGGATTTTCCTTGAATCGCACAACTGAATAAAAATACGAGAAAAAAAGAAAACAGCGTTACTTATAGTTGCTGTGCATACGTAAATGCGAAACAATTTCACTTAGCCTCGTTTTCAAGTCGCAATTCCACGCTAAATACCTAATAATAATAACGAATTTTTTTATACAGGATTGAAAACCCATCAGTGTGTAACACTGTTGTCCTTGGGGTCCTGTCAAAATAATAAATAAATAAATAAAATAAAACTTAACAAGATATAATCATTGATCTTAAGGTCTAGAAAAAGCATACAATAAAATAAAATGCTCTGAAAAAGGATACCTATAACCACGTTTAGATCGAATTTTTTAACTAAAATAATCTCGCAATTTGTTCTTAAATTTCAGTCTCGAATCTAACGACCTTAGTTCAGCAGGCAGGTTGTTGAAAGTCTTTGCTCCTTGGTAATAGAAGCTCTTTTTACCAAATTCTAAACGTACTTTGGGTAATTTCACTGATATACCGTTATTCCTAGTGGCCTTAGAATGAACCAGTCTTTCGAAGTAGTTCTTAAAGGGTGTGCAAACATTATTCAGGAGACAGTCGAAAACAAACAAACAGCTTTTACGCTTGATCAAATTGTTCACGGATGGGGGATTAAAAGAACTATTGCCAATAACTTTAAAGCCTCGTCGTTCGACCTCGCTTCGTTTACCAATCAGAATGCGAGATTTTATTCAATGATGTGATTCTAAGCTAAGACTCAGTGGAAATGTTCAATGTTGGTAGTAAACCGCTCTTTAACATATTAGCAATATTTCCCTTCATTGTGAAAAAATATCGTAGATGGCTAAGTTGAGAAAAGTAACAAATTTAGTTCCACAGTTTATAATCTCTTGCCACAACTTGGTACGTGTAACTGCAATTTATATCAACACTTTAGGTTGATATAAGCACTGTATGTTGCGTTATGACAATACCTCTGGCCTTGTTCTGTAAATGTTTTCGTGAAGCCAAGAAAAATCGTTTTTTTTTAAGTTACTTGGCAGAAAACCATGGCTCAGGATATTTCCAGTTCTAGCGTGACAGCAATTTGAATTTTTCCTAGCGACGCACTGTATAATAACATATTCACAGCATTTAAAAAAAAAAAAAAAAAAAATAGGAACGCGATATACAAATTCTTAAAAAGTGTCACACGTACAGACCAGAGGTTAGATTAGGCGCGTATAAAACGAAACAAATTTGTTTAACTCGGGAAACATATACGGGACTTATCCAGAGAGGGGACAATGTATTGCATACCTTATTTTTACTACATTCTGTATTTTCGATTTTTTCATGTTTTAACCTCACCTGCAAACACATTATGAAGTTTCATAACAAAAAAATTCGTCATTTCTAACAACCGTCTGTTCAGTTTGAACAAGCGTTCAGTTTGTTTTCATCGAACAGCTTTCAAAATACAAATAACAATTCAAATCCTCAGTTTGAACTGAAACATTTTCAGGCTGTTTTTTCATAATCGATACGATGAAGTAAAATTTTAGATTGTGGATTACATAGGCTCATATTTTATTTGCCTCTTTTCGTAAAACATTAAAGGTGTTTTCAGCACTTGTCATGCAACAATTAAGTGTGTTTCTGACAACTATGTACAGTTGTGACGAGAAATTTCTGGTTTGTCTTTGATTTATTCAGACAACTATGCTCAGTTTTGAAGAACAGGGCAATTTTAACTGAATGTCATTGTCAGGCGTTAAAATTTTTGGAGGCCGTCTTCGTTTCTGAGCAAACCATTTGACAACGGAAATTCTCACAAAAAGAAAAAACAACAACAAAACCGAGAAACATTCAGTGATAAAGTGGGTTTGTACTTACGTTTCACATGGGCCCTGTCGTCCTTTTCGACCTGACTAAAACCAGATTATAAGTCGTTTTGGTCGTGAATGTCAGCAAGATGTAACGATATTTTGAAGAAGTATCTCGCGTGAGTCACCTTAGTGGAAACTTTGAGATTTCTTGCCAATTTACACGTGTCGCAGTGGCTGTACTTCGCGACAAAACATACACTGAGTTTCGTGCCAGCTGCCTTCTGATTAGCCTTGATGCCTGACTGAAAGTAACTCTAGAATAAATAGAGAAATTAAAATATTTTGGGATTAATTATCAACGCAAAAAGCTTTTTTGTGGAAGTATCATTTTGCATAACAAAACCGTAACATCGAGGAAGTTCACACCTCCTGCCAGCAAACAACTTTTATCATAATAAAGATTGAAACAATAGGCTTGCCTAAATTGTAGCCATCTTATTTGCCCAGTTGTTACAACAAAAGCGATAAGTTTAGGCCTGAATGTTCTGAGTTGAACGGTTTTTACAGTATGGAGATTTAAATTAGTTTCTAACAGACCACTTCAAAAAGAATATAAAATAAATTTTGTACGCGCTCGATCGTACTTCGGTTCGAGGTAAGCTTTTAAAACGTCAAAAATGTCTGAGTTTTGTTTCGCTTTTTTTTGGTTTATATTTCATTCTAAACATATCGCATGGAGCATTGAAAAGTCTCTGCCCAAAATCCTGAAGAAAAAAGCAATGGAAAGCTCAACTTTATCATATACATTTAGATGGTTTATAAGCGAAGAAGAGAACAATTTATCCCAAGTCATGGAACAGATAAAGTCGGGAAAGATATTACTAGGTAAATCTTCAGGAAGTGTTTGTAGTATTTACGAGTGGAATACCAAAAATCAATCGTTGATTACTGTTGTGACTCTCTTTGAGGCAATCAAAACCGAAGAAGCGATATCTTCATAATCTTTTTCGCCGAGATCTTCGTGACGTAATCGGAATGTTCCCCGGAGCATATTATCTCATTGACGTCATGAATTCATATTACTCACAATGCACGCCATGCTAATGTTTAGTAGTTCCACGCACGGCTTCCTGTGACATTTTGACGGGAACATGGCGTCTTTGGCATTTCATTTGCATCAGTACGTCGATCTTTACATCGATCTAACCGGAGAACTTGTTAAACCTCTCCCTCCTTTCATAATAATTATCTTAAAAAAAAGAAATGGAAATAAGATCAGAACAGGACAACTCAGTGAAAAAAAAAAAAAAAAAAAAAAAAAAAAAAAAAAAAAAAAAAAAAGAAGAAATGCAAGATATGTCGTCTAATCTAGGAAAAATAGGTAGCAAAGTTTGGTTTCGCGCAAGAATATTGAGAAAATTCACTCGTGTGTACTTTCACGGGTATTTCACGGGTCACGAATTTAAAAGGAAAAACTTCAAATCTTAACTTACCATGCCTTTCTGTAAAATTCACACGCCATGTAGCAGTTTTAAGCTTAACTCACGCGTCATCTTTAAAACCTTGGCCAGCTCCGGAAACCTCACGTTCTTAATTTTTGACTTAGTAAGTTGACATGCCATAAACAGATCAAGAACTGGAAACCTTCAACATTTCCTTTCTTCGTCAGCTTTCCATTTGTTTGATTTCTGCTCCCTTCATGCCACTGTAAATGTATCTGCTGAACCTTCGATGTACAAATTGTTGGTCGTCGTCGCACCACAACTGAAATCACGAAAGTTTGTTCATTTTCCGTCTGATTGATAAATATAATTACACAAACGTGACTACGGTGAAAACAACCACATTTTTATAACAATAGTAGGCAATTTATAGTTCACTTTCTATCTGAAGTGTTCAAAAGCATGGTATTTGATCATGAATCAGGTCGTGAAATGAAGAACGAAATATATTTTAAAATAAAATGAGAGTGAAATGCGGAATGCCATGATCAATTTTTCGCAGATTCGTGCAGATTTTAAGCACCAAAAAGATCAAAAGAAATTGAGATTTATTTTCATCACCTGCTTGCCGCACTGAAATTGCGTGGAGAAGTTACATTTCCGTCACATCCGAAACTCAACCGGTTAGTATGACGTCAAACACAGCTGGGCGTCAAGACATTTATCATTACATTAATTTAATTATTTATTAAGAGTTTCAGAGCACTAAATCTATCATACCATGTTGCTTCGACAAAAATGACTGCAAACTTATTCAAAAAGGTAACATCGCCTTTTCCTGGCGCCAAGTTCGTACACGGGCGCAAAAGCAACGCAGAGGGTAGTAGTAGTAGTAGTAGAAACTTTATTAAAGTGTCAAAAACCGTCTAGCCAGGGAACAAAATCCCTTACTAATTTGGGGACACCAATTAGGGGAGAATATACAGGTCTTGTCCCGCAGTTCAACTACAACAATGCAGAGAAAAAAAGTCTTTTTCTCTGCACTGTCCTCTGCTTTTTTCGCCCCACGCACCCTGTTACTAACTGAATGCCCACAACACGTTAATAAATGAAAATTGACAAGACTGTCTTGCACAAGTGTCTTTAATCTGTTCGATGGTCGCCATCACTCATGTTTAATTGTCTATAGCTGATCGTTTTTCACGGTTTAAGTCTTCAGAGACAGCTCTCCGTTCAGGAAAAGAGACAAAAATTCTAATATTTCTTTTTTTTTCTCCAGATTTGCTCGAACCACTTCTCGATTTCCTGCTTAGTCTCTTCAGTTTCAACATACTCGGAGGGTTCTTTAGTGTACGGCAGCGGCTTCATTTTCTCATTCACCATGCTCATGGAAGGTGGGTAGTCCCTCAGGTACCACAAGGCATTCTCCCCCCTTGTCTCGTGCTTGAGGACCTCGATGCTTTGAATAAGTGGCGAGAACAACTGAAAGTTCACCTCCATAGGTTCACCGTCTATTACGTTGCGCAAGGTAAAGGTGGCGCCTAAGGAATTTTGCCAACGACTTTTGTAGATACAGATACCCACAAACCTGAAGGAAAGAGGAAAAAAGTTTGAAACAAACAAAAAAAAAACCCAACAATTTATCAATTAATTTAACAACTTATGGTGGATCAAAACTTAAATTTGAACTCAAGAATTCTTCTCAGTTATTTAGTTCCTTTGTTTTCTGATTAATAAGGCATATCCACCAGTATTTTAACAATTTCACTCCAATTGCTTTCTTTCTGATGCAAAGCCATCCATCATGAAGTTACAAGTATCAAAACTTTTATAGAACAATTGTAGTCCCAAGAACTCTAGCCTCTTTTTGAAGAAATCTTCACTAACCTACAGAATTATTAATTTCTTATTAACCAAGTGCAAGGGCCATACTGGAGAATATTGGCCCCAGACCAGGTCATGGCAGTATGGACCTTGCTGTGCCTGGTGCATACAAAAGCAATCAAGGGCCAATACTCCCAGAACAGCATAAGCAAGAAAAGTTAGTAAGTAGTTTATTGTATGGCAATCCTACCAACTTCTATATTTTGAATTTACTAGCTGTTATGAACTGAAATACACAGCTTATGACTGTTTCCATAGAAATGGTCCATACGGCAAAATCCCAACCAAATAAGAACCCATCAGAATGTTTGCATTTCCCTCAGGGCAACCTTGCCATATAATGAAAACTAATACTGCCCTTCAATCAAATGCTGCTGAAATCTTAAAAATATTCTCTATTTTCCTATTGTTTATCTTAGTTTATCCTTAGTGACAGCTTTTTCCTTATGAAAGAATTTGGTTTTGTTTGCTTACTGCTATGATGTTTTTTTTTTTTTTAACATATTTGAGGTCATAAAGAAATAAACACACACCTGACTTTTCCCTTTGCAATGTGAGGATCTGACCGGGTCACAGCTACAATACTACCAACACAAAAGTCTTTGACACCAAGTGCCTGCAATCGATGGTAGCAATCTCTCTGCTCTAAGAAAGTCACCACATCTGTGCTGGCCTCCTCTGGAGAATCAGGGAACCCATTGGGCCAGTCCTTTTCTTTCCAGATAAAGCGGGGTTCAGGTTGGGTACCCACCAAGGCTGTTTTAGCATTTGGGCGCGTCTTGTAGATTGACTCAACATCTAACAATGAATTGTTCTTTCGGTACCACTGGTTGATATTTACTCTTATCTAAAAAGGTTAACAGCACAAGTAGAAGACAAGTTGGTTACACTATAATTCACAAAGCACTGTAGATTGTATGCACCCAAGAGGGGCAAAGTGGTTGAGAGGTTTAAATTGCTGGTTTGATGTGGACAAGTTTGATATTCAATTCCCTCACTTTACCACTTGTTGCTAAGTAGTTCAAAAGTTCAATTCCCAACTGCATATCAGAGGCTCATTTTCAGGGCAGTAGTATAATTAATTGAAATAAATGATATTCATTTTTGGAAAAACATGAGGATTGCACTTCTGACGTATATGTACTCTGTTTGTCATCTCAATTAAAGAAAAACTTATTAGTTCCTATTCATCTCTCTAAAATACTCATTTTTTTATCAAAACAATCTTGCACAGGATCTACTATACCTTTGGTTTCTTTCTTGGAACAAGTTTCTCTGTCTTTTGTGCTGATAATGACTGCCCATCCACACTGACCTCTTTCCGAGATACTGCAGTAGTTTCATCTCCTCTTTCTAAGTAATTAAATAAAAAAAGCCATAATCTTCATTCATGCCCTTTTAAGTGCTTTTGGAATAAACCTATTTCTTTGGAATAGCCACAATTTTTAAATTTTCACTCCCTTTGAAGTGCTTTTGGAATAAACCTCTTTCTGTGGATTAAGGTACCCATTTTGTAATTTAATTTTTTATTTCTAAAAAAGGGGTCACAATGTTCATTACTTGTTTACTGTTACAGATCCTCCCTACAAACACTGTGTTGTAATATTGCCATTCTGTTGTTAAGGCTGGGCTCCCTGTGCCCTGCCCGCATTTTGCATGACCAGCGGTTTCACTTTATGGTTATTTATTATCGTGACTGCCATCTTGTATTTAGTCTTTAGTTAGGTTCTAAGTGAAGTAAGGCCTATTAAAGGTTCGAACTCAACACACTGTGTCATACCCTTGTAGTAAATGTAAGGTACTATCCTTTTAGAATGGGTGTCATACATGAACTGGCACTTCCTGATATATTTTTTTTTTTACATGAAAAAATATGATTTAATCAATTAATGCTGACTAAATAAAAATTTCTGTTCTGTTCTGTTCTGATCTGTTACATTTGATACCTGGATAAGCAAAGGTACTGAAGTTTTGTTAAGAATTTGCTGTAGTATTTTCGCAGAATGCACCCTTTCAGCAGCTTTCAAAATAATCCGCCCTTTCAAAAAAACTGTGGTACATCTCGGAGTTACCTTGCTGCGTAAGCTTGTTGAGAAATTATCTACAAGTAAGGTTATAATATAATCTTGAACACCACTGAGGCCTTTAAAAGTATCCTTGACCTTCTCGCGAGACCCACCTTTTGCAGATTCTAGTGCCTTGGATGTTTTTCGTGGTGATATACGCTTTTGCAGCCTTTTAAATACTTTCTCATCAACATGAGGAGACAAGAATTTGAGTCGAGCCCTAACTTTGGACGCCATATTGATTCTTACAGCATTAGTGCCTAATGCCCGCCCCTCCAGTACTCATGAGAGAAACCGCTGTTCGCTAGACTTCTATCCCTTACGCATTAGATTATATATGAAATGCGGGAAGAAAATGAATAGATGAAGGAAGAAACTTTCAAAGGTGACATGTCTTCCTATTTTCAAAATAGTTAGTTCACTTCGTATTCGGACAAGGTGATAGTTCCTGGCACAAACGAGCTTGACGGACAGCTCAACGAGCCTTCGCTACAGAGATGTACACTTCGTTGCTACTTATATAACATATCGATGGGAATACTGGGAAGGATTAGAACGTTTTGTGTGTGCCGATCGTGGAAGGAATGAGATAAACTCACTTCAGAGCAGGAGAATTCTGAAATTAAACCTTAAATCGGGCTTTACTACAGATAATCAACTCCACCTTGCGCCATGCCGCGAATTATAATCAAAGGAGGAGTGTGGAGAAACACTGAGGTAAGCCTAATTTGTAGATCCTGTTGCATGTGTCGGTGATGGTAAACTCCCCACGAGGAAGGCTTAAGTATGAGATAATTTTAGTATGGTTCTCTGAATGACTTTTAAAACTACTTTTGCTTCTTTCTTTCGTATAAGGAGTAAAAAGTAAAGTATATGTGCCAATCTTGTGCTTCTTTTGTAATTTGAATTTCAGGATGAAATTCTAAAGGCTGCTGTCATGAAATATGGAAAGAACCAGTGGTCCAGGATCGCGTCTTTGTTGCATCGAAAGTCAGCCAAGCAGTGCAAAGCTAGATGGTAGGTGTTGGTAGATGATTGGTTATTTTCTCGAATTGTCCAGCGTTCTCGTGTGACAAGTGTCCTTCAGACTGCCGAGATCATCATTTTCATGAGCCCTCTGCAGAGAGAAGGAGAGAGAGAATCATTAAGATATTATACACTTATTAAGAGTATGATTCGAATTGTGTGAACCACGTTATCTGTAGTTTCATTATTTTCATTCTTGTATGGTGCTCTGTCACACTAGTGACTGTACTGTCTGATAGATCGTGTGTTTTTTTTTTTAATCAGGTATGAATGGTTGGACCCCAGCATTAAGAAGGTAACAAACTTACTTTAAAGTCAATTGTTAAAACAACAGATTTGATAATGTAAACTGGCCGTCGTTAGTAATTTAAAGGCTGACGTTTCTTGCATTAGCCCTGCATCAGAGGTGTGACGAAGGGGTCTCACTTGAAACATCAGTTTTGAAACTCTTTATGCTAGCCAATTAACATTATCAAACAAAACAGTGGAGCTTTGTGATGGGTTTTGAAATTGATATAAAGAAAAGTTGTATGGAAAAAATTGAAGACATGTACATAAACCCTTTCAAGACTTAGATCTCATTAGTAATTCTCCTTATTGTCTGCTATACAGTTCTTATGGTGATAGTTTGGAGAATTTGGAGTTGGAAATTTCACATTGACAATGTGGCACTAAAAATAAGTAGAATAATTGGAATTATTGCCCGCCTTTGGCATCTCGTACCTTTAACCACTCTATTAACTTTTTATTGCTCTTTGATCCTCCCTTACCTATCCTATGGCATGGCTGTTTGGGGCCAAGCTGCAAAATCCCATTTACATAAAATCCTCGTCCTACAAAAACGAGTTCTTCTGATATATTTTTCCGAACCTAGACCACATGCGGTGCCTTTATTTATCTCCTCAAAAATCCTCCCCATAAATATGTTATACGTTGAATCAGTTTCCTCAATTATGTTTGACGTCTCATGTCTAACTGTACCTACTAACATTAGTAATCTTTTCATTAAAGCTACTGAAAAGCATAATCACGATACAAGGTTCTCTTCTTTCGGCAATTTTTATATTAATCTAAGGAGACTGAATCAAAGCTAGGGCTCTTTTGCTAGCTTCGAGCTAAACTTTGGAACTCCATTTGCGATGCTCTTTGTCAACTCCCGAAAAGAGCTTTCAAAACTCTTCAAGGACATGTTATTTTCATTCCTAGAGGCTGAGGATTACTATGTTGAATCGCCCCTTCTATTTCAAAAAATTACTAATTATAAACTGGCTTAAGTTTATAATTTATATTCTACATTGTAGTGTTACTATTTTCTTATGTGTAATGCTGCAGTTGTATATACTAGTTTTTAGTGGCTGTCTTTTTCTGGAAATGGTATTAATTTATGTTTAAGCTTTATTTGTACTCTATCACCACTGCTGTACCTCTAACTCTCGCCCGCCTCGACTAGCTCCCGCTATTTGTGGGCGTGAACAGTCTTCATGAACATGAAAGTGTAAATTAGATCAATAATAATTAGATTAATTAAATTCATTAGATTAATTTGTAATTTGTAATTTCCTATTAAGCTTTCCTCTTATTAAGCTTCAATAACCTTCAAACTAATAATGATACCCTAATTGATATAATTATGGTTTTATTCTCATCACTTCTCTGCTTGAAATTTTATCAGAATTGTAAGTGAAACCATTTGTTTGTATTGTATTAAATATATTAATCAGTAGTTTCACTAGCAACCTTTGTGGCTTCCCTTGGTGTTGATGTATGGGATCCCATGAAAATGGGTTCCCACTCCACTGATGAGCAAACTCGTGATCAGTGGGTCAAAAAAAGGAACAAAGCGTATGCAAGGGTGGGAATGAGTGTGTAAAATGAACATAAAAGTTAAGTGTTAAAATTGAGGGAGCGACTTCTGTAACAACAGCACGCTCCTAAACTCAATTTAAAATTGTAAAAAATATATGTTATATATTATTAAAATAAAATAAATAAGTAAATAAAATCAAAATAAAATAAAATGAAGTTAAAATATTATATAAGAGTAACTATTAGAAAGAGGGGGCGAAGCATTTAGGGTTTAGGGTTAAAATTGCTAATTTTATATTAGAGTTTGGTTATAGTTAGGGTTAGAGTTTTATTAGGGTTAGTGTTAGTTAGGGTTAGGGTTAGTGTTAGATTAGGTTTAGGGTTGAGGTTAGTGTTAGTTTAGGGTTGGGTTGGGGTTAGATTAGGGTTGGGTTAGGGTTAGGGTTTGGGTAGGGTTAGGGTTAGTAATAGGTAAGGGTTTGGTTAGGGTTTGTGGAATTAGAAGTATATTAGGGTTAGGGTTAGTGTTAGTTAGGGTTAGTGTTAGATTAGGGTTAGGGTTAGTGCTAGATTAGAGTTGTGGTGGGGAAAGGTTAGTCATAGGTAAGGGTTTGCCAAGGGTTTGTGGAATGGGGTCTCTGTTTTTGACTGTAGGAAGGGAAAGGGGTTTATAGAATAGGATAGGAAAAAAAAATATTATTGAGAAAAATAAAGTATTCTCCCTTTACAATTATTTTTATGGACAGGAGACTGTAGGAATGGGAAGGATATAGGTAGAAGAGGAGCAGTGTTGATCGAGGAGTGGTGAAAGAAGATGTGAAGTGTCTATAAAAGTTGTTCAAAAATTTATGTTTAAGCTTTATTTGTACTGTATCACCACTGCTGTACCTCTAATTCTCGCCTGCCTTGACTAGCTCCTGCTATTTGCGGGCATGAACAGTCTTCATGAACATGAAAGTGTAATTAGATCAATAATAATTAGATTAATTAAATTAATTAGATTTATTTGTAATTTGTAATTTCCTATGAAGCTTTCATATTAAGCTTCAATAAACTTCAAACTAATAATGATACCCTAATTGATATAATTATGGTTTTATTCTCATCACTTCTCTGCTTGAAATGTTATCAGTATTGTAAGTGAAACTATTTCTTGGTCACTCATGTTAGTTAAAGGGTGAAGGCTGACAATTGTCTGTAAACAGAATACTCTCTGGATTGAAAATTCTTGAAAAGGGGATCATGAAATTTCAGAAAAGTTATTCACCAGACTTGAGTAGTATACAAGATATTGCTAAAAAGATGGAACTTGTTCACTTTACAAAAGTTGATATGTACATGTGCATTTTTGTCTCTTCTGTTCCCTTTAAAAACTACTGATCAGAAGCTTTTCTCTGGCACACAGAGAGCCAGTGAGAGTAACTTTTGTACATGTACATTTTTGTCTCTTCTGTTCCCTTTAAAAACTACTGAAGCTTTTCTCTGGCACACAGAGAGCCACTGAGAGTAACTTTTGTACATGTGTATTTTTGTCTCTTCTGTTCCCTTTAAAAACTACTGTAGCTTTTCTCTGGCACACAGAGAGCCAGTGAGAGTAACTTTTGTTATTGCTTACTCTTGCTATGAACAGACCGAGTGGAGTCGTGAAGAAGATGAAAAGCTGCTTCATTTAGCAAAGCTGATGCCAACGCAGTGGAGAACTATTGCTCCTCTTATTGGTCGTACAGCATCACAGTGCTTGGAACGTTACGAGTTCCTTTTGTATGTCCATTTGTCTTATTTTGGTTAAATAAGCAGAGCTATTTTAACTTAAATTTTTAGTTGGACTGCATTTGAGCCCCAGATGTATGTCTTGCGTTATGGCCAAAAGTTTTTGGTTAAGCAATTTTGTTTTCAGTGCCATAGTAAAGAAACAGTATTGAATCATTCACTGTCTACTATTCTGGCATGGATTTGATTCCTCATCCCATTATGATAGATACAGGGCTCGTACGTGTCTTGAAAATCCTTGAATTTGAGGAGGCTGATATCAAGGCCTTGAAAGTACTTGAATTTCGTTTTGGGTCCTTGAAAGTCCTTGATTTTTTATTGAACAACATCGAAAAATATCTGCTTTTGTTTTGCACCATCAGTAAACCCAAAACATAGATGTTAACAGAAAAATTTTTGGTTTTGAGGTAAAATTGTCATTACAAAAACGTCCTTGAAATTTCTAAGTAGGGTCCTGCAAAGTCCTTGAAAAGTCCTTGAATCTTTGGCCTGAAAAAGTGTACGAACCCTGTAGGTATTATGATTGATATATGTGTGGCTTGAGAGTGTTGTTGATTCTCCTCCCCCTGAGTGTAAGAATTTTACAGGTTCTCCCATTTTCCTTTCTCCACAAAAATAATACTTGAAACTCCAACTGTACTGGAAAACAGTTGACGGAGAACTGCTGGTGAGATATGCAGCAGCTGTCTTTTATTTACTTATTCCTTTATTTAACTATTTCTTTATATTTTAGAGATCAAGCCCAAGCTAAAGAAGGTGAGAAAGATGAGGGTGATGACCCACGCAAACTTCGCCCAGGAGAAATTGATCCCAATCCTGAGACAAAGCCAGCAAGACCTGACCCTATTGATATGGATGAGGATGGTATTTGATAACTTTTTTTTTTTT